AAATGAAAATTTTATGTGATGCCAAAGAATGAGGAGGTATGCAGCTACCAAATCTAAGACTATACTATGAAGCAGTCTGTTTAACATGGTTGGAGCAATGGGTGAATTTGGAGAATGAAAGACTGCTAACTTTAGGTCATGACTGTAGGTTTGGGTGGCATGCTTTATTATGGTATGGAAAATCAAAGATGGACAGTTTCTTTGTGCATCTCTTGGTGAGAAAGGCATTATTTGTGATTTGGACAAGATATAAAAGAAACTTTCGTGAGGAAAGACCACTTTGGATTGTACCAGCAGAAGTATTGACGCCGTACTCAAGACAGCAAGGTATAGACTGGTTGCCGTACAGAGACTTAATTAAAAAGGAGGGAACAGAATGGGTAATGAAAAAGCAGGATGAACCTCAATATAGATATATTTGGCTGAAATATATGCAGATTAATGACATTTTTAAAGCAGACGAAAAATTATGGATTTAGAGAGGAAAAAATGAATTAGAAACTGTTTGGGAGGTTGGAGGGGGGAAAATGGTTTCTAAGATGTATAAAATTTTGCTGAAATGGTATACGGAAGATGAAACTGTAAAAGAACAAATGATAAAATGGGCAATTAACATGAATAAGGAAGTGACAATAGACTTGTGGGAATATTTGTAGAAAAATTCTATTAAGATATCGATGTGTACCAATATAAAAGAGAATTGTTATAAAATGATGTATAGATGGTACATGACGCCTAAGAAAATAGCAAATATGAACCAGAACACGTCTAGTAAATGTTGGAAATGTAAGTTGGAAACAAGAGAAAATACCAGAAACAGAAGATTGGATACAAAAAGTTCTGTTCATGGCAGAAATTGATAAAATAACAAGAAAATTAAACAACAAAGAAGACCAAGAATTTTTTGAAGAGTGGGATGACTTCAAGATTTATCTAGAAAAAAACTGGGATGTAAAAAGAAATTTACTTTGTTTAGATCAATATTAAGCATAAGATTGTTATCTTGGAATGTATAAGACTTTTGGACCACAGGGGAAACGCATTGCGGGAAGCCACTGGAGAGGAGGGAGGGAGAAGGGAAACTGATTATAAGAAAGTTGTTTTTGAATATTTGAAATATATTAAGAAAATAAAAGTTTCTTGACCAAAAAAAAAAACATAAAGAGACTAAATTTTTTATCAACATTAATTTTAAATATAAATGGGTAACCTCTTCATTTAGATATTTAGGAGTTCAGATTCCATTAGATTTGAATGATATTTTAAAATTGAATCATATTGATATATCTACTCAAATTTTAAATCTTTTAAAAAATTGGTCCAATCTACATCTGACCTATATAGAACGTATAAGAGTGGTGAAATCATTGATTCTACCCAAAATGACTTTCTTGATGAGAGCAATTCCTATCATGATACCTTCTACACTTGGGCTTTTAGTGACTTTTTTCTCTGTCTCCCTTAGTCTGTAGTCTTTCCCCTCCGCTTCTTTTGTTATAGTTCTGTAGTTATTTTAGAATGCAAATTTTAAAAAATACCCTTTGGCCCCCCCCCCCCCCCAAAAGATAGAGCATGCAAAAACTTGGAAAGAGAGCTGAGCCCAAGGGTGATGTAGGCAGCAGCGCTTGCTGCTTCGCACTTCTGCTGCGTGTCCTCCCCCCCCACCAGTGTGAACAGTGTGCTTCATGCTGTTTGTGCTGGTAGGGAGAGCCTCAGTGTGTCCGGTTTGTTTGTGTTTAAAGATCTACTTCAGACAATAGGGCTTTTTAAATTTCCCCCCTCAAAAGTTCCAAACAACTGAAGTTCACGTTTGGGCTGAATTGTGTTCTCACTACACACATCACAAGACCTTGGGTAGGGTTGCCAGCTCTAGGTTGGGAAATACCTGGAGATTCTGGGGGCAGAGTTGGGGAGGGTGAGGTTTGGGGAGGGACGGGACCTCAGGATGGTCTAATGCCATAGAGTCCACCCTCCAAAGCAGTCTGGAGATCAATTGTAATAGCAGGAGATCTCCAGGCACCACCTGGACATTGGCAACCCTAACCTTGGCCCTGGCTGACTGATGGTACCTGCTCGGCATTTACAAAGTAGTTGTCACATGTGGAGGTGGCAAGTTCAGTGGCGCCAGTAACAGTCTCGCCCGGACAGAGAGTGGGTATCTGCTGCCACAGAACAGGTGCCTATTCACCCACCACATCCCTCCGTTTCCTCCCCAGCCTGTTTCCCCCTCTGGGGTTGTAGTTAGAATAATGAATGATGAAGGCCTGGGTTCAAATCCTTTACTCACCCAAGAAGATCACTGGGCGGCCTTGGGCCAGTCAGCAGCCTATCCTATGTCACATGGGGAAACAGAGAGAAACCTGAGCTCCTTAGTGGAAAAATGGGAACAAAATGTGATAGACCCTGTTGTCCTCCTGGAACAAAGTGGGAGAGACTGAACCCTGAGTATGTGACGGTGCAGGGGCTTTCAAAGTAAGTGAGGAGCACTGAGATGGTTTGTCATTGCTATATCATACCACCTTCCATAAATGTCGGGTTGCCAAGCTCCTGAAGATCCCCATGAGAAGCTAGGGATGGCCTAAGCATGCCACGGGCACGCTTTCCTCTCCCAGCCCCCCAACTGTCGGGCCTCGCCATAGGAGCCGGGGGTGGTGGTGGAGGAGGGATGGAGGAGACCGGGGACGGGGGAATTGGTGGGCTCGGTCTGGGGGGGGGAGGCTTACCTGCTGCTGCTGCTTCCTCCTCCTGCTCTGTGTGGAACTCCCCCCGCGAGTATCGTGGGTTCCCTTTTTTGTTCCTAATGATGCTGAAAACCCACAATCCTTTTTGCTTCAGTCTCAGCAAGTTTAGACTCTATTAGCATATACTTATTGGGATTTTTTATTCCAGTGTGCATCACCTTACACTTAGCAACATTGAACTTCATTTGCCACATTCTTGGCTACTCTCCCAATCTGTGGAGATCCTCCGGTACCTCTTCACAGTCATCCTTGGTTTTCACCATCCTGAATAATTTTGTGTCATTAGTAGGTTCATGAGTACAGTTATAATAGGCATATATTGCAGATATATTCCCATGAATAAAATGGAAGGTAAATACATGTTTATCGCCAAGTGAACACTGCAAAAACATGGTTTGTATCAGAGGTCCCCAACCTTGAGCCTGCAGCCACTTTGGATTTTGAAATAGAGTAGCTGGCACTACCACAAAATGACTGCCATCAGGGGTCCTGACCATAATTTCCCCATATATAATTATATGTAAAATTCAAGGTGAAAAATATTCTGCAATTAGCCCGGGTTCCCCCTGGTGTGATTGTAGTACAGAGAGACAAACTTGTGTGTCTGTCTTGTATGTTACAGGATTCACCACTAGTAAATGCTAGATTTTTAATATGTTCTGGTAAAACCACAACATGCAAGATAGCCCTTAATCTTCTTCGTGGTCTCTGTGCATCACACCCTTGGGATATACTGCGCCTGCGCTGACCTTCTCGGTACCGGTAGCTAGCAAAAGGGATTTTCGCGCCTCTCCCAGGTCACGCGCCGGCTCCACTGCGCATGACCAAGGAGGGGCACGCAGATCCCGCCAGTTCTTTTCTGACCGCCGCGCTGGTAGGACGCCTTCTGCTTCGGTCTGTTAAGTACCTAACTTTCTGCTAAACTTGCGTTTAGTTAGTTTCCTTTTCTTTATTTTGTTTTTTGTAGTTAGCATTTTTCTTCGGTGTGTTTGTTCCTTGTCTTTAACGTTTCCCCCTCCGCTGGCCTATGGCCCCGCGGTGGGGTTGTTTCAAACGGTGTAAGACTTGCGGCCTTAAAATATCTCCCACCGACGGGCATTCGCTTTGCCTCGTCTGTTTAGGGGAGTCGCACTGTGTTTCTAAGTGCGGACATTGCCAGAAATTCTCGAACCAGACGAGAAAAAACAGGGCAGCTCGTCTGCACTTGGCTTTGATGGAGAAGGCGCTATCTCCACAGTCGTCTTCGCCGTTGGACACGTCCGGGCACGCCTCGATGTCCACCCTGGCTGCGGACACTTGTCCTCCCGTTTCGGGACCATCGACGTCGACGGTCGCAATCGATGCTTCGGCACCGAAACGATCGACGCCGATAAAAGACCACCCCGTACCTTCCAAGATCCGGAAGCAGGGGATATCTGATGCCGTACCTTCCAAGATCCGGAAGCAGGGCAAAGACTCACAGCAGTCGAAGAAACCTAAAACGGACAAGTCGAAAGTCCATAAGGTTTCAGCTAGTCAAGGTCGAGATCTCACGCAAGAACCTCATCACCTGATTGGTTCAGATCTCGACATCGACCTTACTCAGCAGACAAATCAGTCGCAATCTGATATGTCGAGTCGTCAATCCTCTCATGCTTCCCCGGAACGTGGAGTCGATGATCGACACCGACCGGCATCCCCTACTTTAACCTGGGATGAGAGACAGTGGCATTACTTGTATGGAAGCCGATACCCATACCCATGGGCTTTTCCTCCACCACCTCCACCTGACTGGGATCGTCAATCGGTGTCATCCCGCATCTCGCAGTTTCGGGATCGATCCTCGGTATCGAAGCAGTCCATGCCGATACATCCACCAGACCCGGCTGCACCCCCGGTCAACATGCCGACAACGCATCAACCGGAATTACCCGGATCATCCCCGGAACCATCCAATGTATCCTCCGATTCAGACGACTCCTCTGAACATATAGAGGACGTGAACATACAATCCACCCCACAGGATGTGGAAGCGGATCTGCCTATTTCTCCATCAGAGGATGTTAAGTCATATGGAGACTTTGTTCAACGTATGGCGTTGGACCTGTCTATGACTCCTACTCTCGTTGCCAGTTTCGTGGATGACAATGTTTTTGACATTATGCATTCCAACACTTCGCCTTCTGTGGCTCTTCCAATGACAAAAGTCCTCTTACAAACTACTAAGGACTTTTGGACCCATCCAGCCTCCATTACTGTATCCAATAAACGTCTGGATCACATGTACAAGATCCAAGAATCTGGGGCTGAGTTTCTATACACGCATCCTAAACCCAATTCTTTGGTCGTATCGTCGTCCACGAAAGGAAAATCGAGTCACTCAACGCCATCAGATAAGGAAGGAAAGAAGTTGGACTCGGTGGGCAGAAAATTTTACACTGTCGGTGCAATGGGCATTAAAACGGCAAATTATGCAGCCTGCATGGGCCGCTATCAGTTCAATTTGTGGAAACGCTTAAACGACTTCCTTCCACATGTACCAAAGGAATGTCAGCCTCAGATTAAGAGGCTTCAAAATGAAGGGATGGTACTGGCTAGACATCAAATTAGTGCTGCCAAGCATTCCTTGGAATCTGCTAGCAAGACTCTAGCAACTTCCGTAGCCCTACGCAGACATGCCTGGCTCCGTTCCTCCTCATTGCCATATGATACCAGATCGTCGGTGGAGGACCTTCCTTTTGAAGGCTCTGGACTGTTTAGTTCCACCACTGATACGGTATTACAGGAAATGGATAAGAGTATCAAGACGTCTAAAAGTCTGGGAATCTCTCCCCCAACTAAATACCCTAAGACCAAGCAATGGCCTAGACAATCTTGGTCTTCTAGACAACCGTACAACAAATCGCCTACGGATCAATGGCAAAGACCTCCCTCTTCTCAGTCAAGGTCTTTTCCCCCTAAGAATAAAGGACAATCATCGGGTGCCTATAAGTCGAAGTTTCCCAAGAATCCCAAACAGGGGCTTTGACTTCAGCCTTACTGCTCATACTCGCCTCGCTCCCTTTCTTCACGCATGGCTGGACATTTCTACAGACAAATGGGTTCACTCTATAATAAGAGATGGCTATCTCATAGAGTTTTCTCAAATCCCCACAATTTCCCATTTCGTCGGAACTCCAACGTCACCTGTCCTGATGCAAGAAGTACGATCTCTGTCACTGAAAAACGCTATAGAGATAGTCCCGGCGGCAGATCGTTGCCACGGGATTTATTCCAGATATTTCACGGTCCCCAAGAAGGACGGAGGACTTCGTCCAATTATGGATCTAAGATTTCTCAATCGATTCATTGTTTACAAAAAGTTTCGTATGACCACTTTGCAAAGTATTTTACCACTCCTGCCTCCAGGGACATGGATGGTCACTTTAGATCTCAAAGACGCTTATTTTCACGTCTCCATCCATCCTCGTCACAGAAAATTCCTCAGATTCACGGTCGGAGAGGACCATTATCAATTCAAAGCCCTCCCCTTCGGGCTCTCTACCGCCCCCAGGGTTTTCACGAAGGTAATGGTGGTTGTCGTCGCCCACCTTCGTCTTCAGGGCATTCAGATTTTTCCGTACATAGACGACTGGTTAATGGTGGCAGATTCAAAGGACTGTCTCCTTCAGCACATCACCATTACACTGTCGACCCTATCCTCCCTTGGAATTCTAGTCAATTTGCAGAAATCCATGCTGCAACCTGCAACTCGCGTGCAGTTCATAGGAGCTGTCATAGATTCCCTGGCCACTCGGGCCTACCTTCCTCGCCAACGGGCAGATACCATTCGTCTGGAAATTCGACGTTTGTTCCGATCCAATGTGACATCAGCAGTCCACGTTCAGCGGATCCTGGGTCTCATGGCAGCCACCACCTCTGTGATCGAGTGTGCACGCCTTCGCATGCGTCCGTTGCAGCTTTGGTTTCTAAAGAAATTTCGCCCCTCCTTTCACCCCCCAAGTCTTCGACTAGTCGTGCCTCCTCAGGTCCTTACCTCCCTGCAGTGGTGGCTCGTGGACACCAATTTGCTGGCGGGTGCACCGTTCCAACCGATTGTTCCCGTGATGTCGATCACCACAGACGCCTCCCTGTGGGGTTGGGGTGCTCATACGGACGACACTTGTGTGGGTGCTCCATGGCAGCCCCTTTGGAAACGTCATCACATCAACTATCTGGAACTGCTGGCCGTAAAATTTGCCCTCAGATCCTTGCACAAACAGGTTGCAGGGAAAGCTGTGTTAATATTTACGGACAATACAACTGCAATGGCTTATATCAATCGCCAGGGCGGGACAGTGTCCAGATCCCTTTGCAGGCTAGCTATGGACATATGGGAAGAGTGCCTTCATCGGAATATCACTCTCCAAGCTGCCCATCTGCCAGGAACTTTGAACCAGCAAGCAGATTTCCTGAGCAGAGGAGGAGCATCGGACCACGATTGGGAGCTGAATTCAAAGTATCTCCTCCCTCTTTTTCAACGTCTGGGACATCCCCACATCGATGCGTCCCAGTCCTCGGTTGCTGGTTCGAAGGCCTCGAACTTCGGGCTATTGGCCATAGCTGCAATCGCTGCCACTTGCTCAGGTGGTGCCTGTTGCTGCTCTGCCATGGCGAGCTGCGGCTCGCTGTTGTCCGTCATGGGTTGAGACCAGTGGGGCTGCCTACCCGCTCTAGGATCCCACCGTCGCCAATTGTTAAGTCCGCGCTTAGCAAAATAGCCAGAGAGTGATTCAGCAAAACTCAGGTTTATTTCAGCTCGACGATCAACTTCTCTGACACCGTACAACTTCTCTGATAGCCCGAACAGCTTCCCATTGCAGCTGCTCGGTATTTAAACATTCCCGGCTAATATAGCCACGCCTACTATACAGTTAAACAACCTATCAGGTTGAGACAATAAGGACCAATCAGAGTCTTTCCCGCTTATACACATTTGAACCTGATTGGATGCAGTAGTCTTGAACTTCAATCCCTGTTCAAGACGAAGCTTAACATTGCTTCCTTATGAGATGATTCACAACACTCTTTATGCAGTGTCCCTGCCTTGTAGCTGCCGCCACCTCCTGTGGCCGTGAATTCCATGTGTGAATCACTCTTGGGGTTGCCAGTCTCCTGCCTGGAGACTATCAAAAATCGGACTCCAGAAGAGGAACTGATCTCTGTAGTCTGCACTGCAGATGAGCTGTAATTCCAGGGACTCCACAGGTCCCACTTGGAGGCCGGGATCCCTAGGGGTTTAAAAAAACCGGCATTTTCTTTTTTCTACTCAACGATCCCATTTTCTGAGATGGCTGAACAGCATTGGATACCCTGGGAGCGCAGCCCTGTGCAGCCTTACTCCCGAGCAGCCCCACTGAACTCGCTGGGGGGTCAGGGACGGCAGTCTGGCTTAAGTCCGCTCTGTCCAGGTCTGGGCGCCGCTCCTCAGGGAAAGGACGGAAAGCATTTTTCCTTCGTCTGCAGCACTGAAAGAGTTAAACCAACAGAGCTGCTTGCTAGAGAGGCGGGGGAAAGGCTCTTTTCCTCTGGGCGTGTGTGTGTGTTGGGAGGGGTTCGCTTCTGAATCGGCAAAGAGGACCGGAGGGGAGGAGGGGAGGGGGGGGGGGGGAGCCGTACAGCTGGATCCTGGGAAGGGGGAGGGGAGAGATGAGTTCTTAAATCTTGGAAAAGAGGAATGGTGGCTCTCATGTCTAGATTCAGGCGGGGAGCCGGGTTGGACCGAAGCAGCAGACCAAAGTTCGGGACTGAGTCCAGAGGCACCTTTAAGGCAAACCAGGTTTTATTAAAGGTATAACCTTTGTGTGCTCGCACGCTGCTTCAGATACATTGGAATGGTTTAAAGTTTAAAATTTAATAATAATAATGATGATGATCATGATAATAATGAAGGTACACTGGAATGGAAGTTACCAGTCCATCCATATAGATTGAAGAGGAAGAGGAGGTTGGATTCATACCCCGCCCTTCACTACCCAAAGGTGTCTCAGAGCGGCTTACAAACTCCTTTCCCTTCCCCTCCCCACAACAGACACCCTGTGAGGTAGGTGGGGCTGAGAGAGCTCTGACAGAAACTGCTCTTTTTCAAGAACAGCTCTTATCAGAGCTACGGCTTGCCCAAGGTCATCCAGCCAGGTGCAAGTGGAGGAGTGGGGAATCAAACCCGGTTCTCCCAGATTAGAGTCCACACACTTAACCACTACACCAAACTGGTGTAGTGGTTAAGTGTGCAGCAAATCCGCATAAAACGCAATGAAGGTGTTTAAAAGATTCCAGGACCAAACAAGGAAAAACACGCTTAGGGTTACCATTTGATTGGGTTTGATTGGGGGGAATATATCAAAATTGGAGACTGATGAGCAGATGTACTCTTCTTAACTGTGGGACGCTGAGGGAAATTAACAGAGCCCCTGTTGTTAGGCTCCATCTGTCTCCTCTCAAGCTTGATGGAGGGTCTCAGTTAATTAACCTCAAGGGTTTTTAATGCTTTTGAAGTGTGATTTCCTGAGGTCTGTTTTAATTTGTTAGCTGCCTGGGTGGCCCTTGTGAGGGCAGAGAGGCGGGATCTGAACGTTGTAAATAAAAATGAATTCTCAGCCATGGAGGTCTTTAGGGAGGCCCAGAAAGGAGTCCCATGCCTGATCAGGAGGGGAGGAATCCTTCATGCCAATCGGATCCTTGACATGCCAGGCATTTGAGCCAAATTCCCCCCCCCCCCAATCTGACCTTGCCCTGGGGGTTCACTGCCCCCCACTCCCGTTCATCCAGGCAGCCCCCCTGCCCTGACCTGGAGAGGCTGGACGACCCCTGGCCCATTCCCTCTGCGGGCTGCTTGTACAGAGCTGTTGCCTAATGTTAGAAGCCCCTCATAGTCTCTTTACCCAGGGTCCCAGTTTACATTGAGATGTAGCCCCCAGAAGAGGCTGATTCCCTAGTCATCTAAAGCCAGGATCATATCACCCACAGCAGACTTTTAAAGGGCCAAATAGAGAGGGTTTATTTTACAGAAGGACCAAACAGGCATATCTAGCAAAGCCTGATAGGTAATTTAGCAGAATGACACTAATCTTGATTCGCAGACTGCAACAATGACATCCCTTCTGATCCACCAGGCCAATCCTTCGGTGTCTCTTGACCAGGGTCAGTGATGTAGCTCCATTCTCTTTTGGTTTCTTTCTGCCTTTTTGATTTCTTTTCCCCTTCCTCTTTGTAGCCACGAGAGTGAGAGTTTCCACAGTCAGAGGTGACCCAAGAGAAGGGGAAGGAGATGGACGAGGAGGACCCAGAAGGACCTGGAATAGGCAAGAGATCAAGGAAGAGTCCCCATCTCACCCAGGCCAGGAGTGGTGTTGAATACTAGGAAAGAGCTGACTCAGAGATCCTCCGTCAGGACGTGATGACTGCAGATGTACGCACCCGATGCTTCCGGCAGTTCCGCTACGATGAGGCCAATGGACCCTGAGAGGTCTGCAGCCAGCTCCACGGACTTTGCAGCCACTGGCTGGAGCCCGAGAGGCGCACCAAGAAGCAGATCCTGGACCTGGTGATCCTGGAGCAGTTCCTGGCCATCCTGCCCCAGGAGATGCAGGGCTGGGTGAGGGGATGTGAGCCGGAGAGCAGTTCCCAGGCGGTGGCCCTGGCCGAAGGTTTCCTCCTGAGTCAGGCCGAGGAGAAGAGGCAGGCAGAGCAGGTGAGGGGGTGTCCTTCACTCAGTTCCAGCAAGGACCTTATCCTAAGGCCTCCCTACCAGATATTTCTCCCCTTAGAGAATTCACAGGGCTGGGAAGAAAACCCAGCCCTGATTCTTGGCCCTGTGGCTGAACCAGCTCTGCTGGTCGATGGAGGGATGAGGAGTCTGGGAGTGGGGCAGCAGGATCCGTCTCCTCAGCCTCTTCCATTTCTTCTCTCACTCGTCTCCCTTAATGCTGTTTCAGATGTGGGGACCAGCTGTAAAGATGGAAGCGAAGCTCTCTGAGGCAGAAGGAGCTCCGTCAGAGGAAGGTGAGAGGGCACAAGCCCAGCAGCCTGCCCAAGATGCCCTGTCAAGTGGTCAAGGTACCTCCTGCCTGGATGGGATCTGGGCACCCGGTCAAGTGGTTGGGTGGAAGATTTGGGACAGGAGAAAAAGGAAAAACTTCTGCTCACTACACAGAGTGGACTCCTGGGACTTCGTGCCCCAGGATGTAGTGATGGCCACTCTCTTGAAGGGGGAATAGACAGATTCATGGAAGGTGACTCAAGGTGGCTCAGAAAAGGAAAGGAAGACAAATGTGGGTGCAGCTCTTAGCCCTGGTGAATGAATGAATGGAACCTCCCATGTTCCCCTGGGTTGGATGGCCCTGGAGAGCCCGACCTCATCAGGTCTCAGAAGCTAAGCGGGGCCAGCCCTGGTTCATACCTGGATGGGAGGCCACCAAAGAAGTCCAGAGTTGCTATGCAGAGGCAGGCAATGGCATACCACCCCTGAACGTCTCTTGCCTTGAATCACCGAGGGGTTCCTAGAAGTCAGTTGTGACTTGATGGAGCTTTACACACACACAACCATGTTCTGGGCCACTATACCTCTGAACATTCATTGCCAGAGGCCAATAATTGGGCTTCTGGGCCCCTGCTTAAAGGCTTTCCAGGGGCTTTTGGCAGGCTACAGTCAGGAAGAAGATACTGGATTAGGAGTGCCAGGCCATGTGATGTCTTGTCCGGCCAAATACCTGGACATGAAGATGTCCTGGAACCCCTTTGACAGTACAGAATGTCAGTTGATGCGCTAAAATCACGTCCAGGTTTGGGGCTGGGTGTTCTGATGACGTTTCATTCAATGTGATTTCTGGCCCCTCTTTTCTCCTTCCAGTCCACTCAAGGGCTCATGGGAGGGCCCCACTGGCAGGGAGATTGGCATGCCTGGGGGTTTGGTCTGATCCAGCAGGGATGCTGTAACCTTTTGAGCTCTAGAGTCTCTTGGGTACCTGGTGGTTCTCTTCCACCTCTCCCATAGCTCATTAAATAATCGTAACAAATTTAACAAAATACGAAGTTGAGGTTTGAATTCACCCTTCCAATTTTGTCTCTTTTACAGGCCATGAAGAGATGTCGTCAAGACATCATGTTTGCAGTGGAGCGCAAATGTCTGCTGTCCCTTTGGTCCAGGTAGGTGGGGAGAAATGGGGGACAGTTGGGCCCCACTCCTTACTCAGGGACACCTTCGCTGCAGCAGTCCGAGCAAGGGAGGCTCTGAACGCAACTCCCTCTACACACAGCAGGCTCTGCATCCTGCACCTTCCCAAAATACCCTCATCCGTCGAGAGTGTCGTCTCTGCCTGGCACGATCTGTGACCAGGGGATCTGCTTTTTCTTTCAGTCTCCCTTCTCCTTTGAGGAGGTGGCCGTGTGTTTCACCGAGGCTGAGTGGGCCCTGCTGGATCCGGGCCAGAAAAGTCTGTATAGGGAAGTCATGCGGGAGAACTATGGGAATGTGGCCTCTCTGGGTAAGGACCTTCCATAGGTGCCCATTGCTGTCCTTGGGATGATGCATTTATGATGCATTAATCAAAATACTGAAATGCAGTCTGTGGCTGTGTGGCCCTGCCCAGCTACCTCCCCCCCCCCCCCCCCCCCGGGATGGGGTGGCAGTGAAAGCAAAGTTCAGCAAGGCTGGAGAGAGGGACCCAAGCCCCCTGAGGCCAGTGCTGTGGCCATTACCCAAGCCAGAGTGAGAGCCCTGCCTGTGGCCAAGGCGGGGCTGAGAGGCCCTCAGAAAGACTCTGGAAGGAGCCAGATCCCGATGTCTCAGTGGCCAACACATGCCCTTGCCACATGCCCTTGCCCCAGAGGGGATTACGGCCATCTGCCCTGACTCTGATCAGGAAAGGATCTCTCTCCTGTATACTGGTTGGGATTTGGGGCTTTGATTTTGACCACGGTTCCATCCTTCCAGACAAATTTTTCCTCTCTCTTGGATACGAATGATCACTTTCTGTCTCTCAGCAAAAGAAGCCAGGAATGTAAGAGAGACAACGGTGGAGAGTGACGAAGGGTTTGTGTCCAAAGAATGGCTGGAGAGTTTCTCAGGGAGATCTCAAGAGACTCTTTCTTTCCCAAATGAGCTGCCTGCTGGTGAGTTTCCTTCATGGTTCCCAGAGACCTTTCCTCTTCCCTTCTGGGCAACTCTTGGTTTGGTGGAATGATCCAGTCCACTGGGTTAGGAGGAAGGGCGGCCTTCTGGGGCTGGGATGTGGAGATTCGGGAGCTCCTTCCGGGGCTGAGCTCAGCTGTGGCTGTTGAGGGGCTGCACTCTCCTTAAATACTGGATATTCCAGGGGGTGGGAGGGTTACCTAAGAACAGCCCTGCTGGACGAGGCCAAAAGCACATCAACCCTTTCCTACTGTGGTCTCCTGGATGCCTTCGTTCCTTAGGTGGGGATGGGTTTGAGTGCTGTCTTCGGAGCTGCAACCCAAGCCATACCACACAGCACCCTCTGTTGTTGTGAGGGGGATCAGTCCTCGCCCCTAGGGGGTGGAATCATGCGCTATTGAAGAGTTTCCCACTGACCCCGTCAACCGAGTAAACACAGAGTCAAGTTCTCAGCTGAAGCACAGTTGGTTGAGCCACAACAGGATATGAAAAGCGCTGTAGCCCCCTCCCGTCTCCCGAAGAGGCAAGCGACCAACTCCTTCCCAGAGACTGTCCCTTCCACCCCCTTGAGGCAGGAAAGCATCTGCCTCAGAAAAACAGACACACGCATACACGTACAGAGAAAGTCAGGTGTACCTGTCTGATTAGTGTGCTCCGATGCCCACTGTTTCCCCGTCTCCAGGGAAGAGGGTTGACAATGCTGACAACCAAGCTGAGTTAGTGTGAGCTAGCTCACGGTTTTTTAGCCTTCAGCTCACAGATTTTTGTCCCAGCTCAAGAAAGATGGCTCCAGAGCAAACTAATTTATGCAGTAGCCAAATTGCTTGCTCACAACTTAATGCTAGTCGCTCACAAAGTAGAATTTTGGCTCACAAGACTCCACAGCTCTTAGAGGGAACATTGCTGACAACCCTGTGCTTTTCTAAGGCTCTGCCAAACTAACTTCCCCATGCTTCCCTTCCGTCATCCTGGTCATGTTGCATATTACAAGGGTTTGGGGAGGTTGCAACAGGACGGACTCTTCTGGGGTTGTACCTGGAGTTTTCAGCACTTCGTGTTCCTCTAGAACGGACTTCCAGAGGGCCTTCCTCTACTGTGACATTTTATTTTATTTTATTTTTTATTTTGGATTTATATCCCGCCCTCCCCGAAGGCTCAGGGAGGCTAACAGAGAGGCACAAGTGCCGAAGTTAAAACAGATAAAAGGAGAATAAAACAATACAATACAAAACACTAAAGTGTCGGTGCTCTAGATGTCACAGAATCAGTAGTTACAAGATGGGGGTCTGTAACCACAAAATAACCTTGAGGCATGGTAAGCCGCTCTTTTGGCTGTCTCTTACTGACCATAAGATAGACTTCTTTCCAGAGAGACAGGCTGACTCTCTGCTTCTGGGAAGAAGAAGAAGAAGAGATTGGATTTATGCCCCGCCTTTCACTACCCAAAGGTGTCTCAGAGCGGCTTACAAACTCCTTTCCCTTCCCCTCCCCACAACAGACACCCTGTGAGGTGGGTGGGGCTGAGAGAGCTCTGACACAAACTGCTCTTTCAGGAACAGCTGTGCCAGAGCTTCTGACTGACCCAAGGTCACATCAGCAGGTGCAAGTGGAGGAGTGGGGAATCAAACCCGGTTCTCCCAGATTAGAGTCCGCACACTTAACCGCACACCGAACTGAGAAAGGCAGAGATGCCTGGATGATTCAGACATGGCTGCACATTAGACAATAGACAGGCCCGGCCAAGGCACAGAGAATGGCTCAGAGAATGGCTCTGAGTGTAGGTGGCCCTACAATGCAGGGTTGCTTTTCTCACTGGTCATTTACCTGCCCCCCTAATAAAGGGCACCTCTTCGAAACCATAGGGGTCCCTTTTTGAACTGTAGGGTTCATTTCATGAGCTCCTGGCTTCTCACTGCCCCATAGCAAACTTGATTTTTTTGGGAGGCTGAAAACCAGCTCCTTCTTGGCTCTCATCACATCACAGTGGTGGTGGCTCCTACCTGGTGGAACGAGCTCCCGGAGGAGATCCGGGCCCTGTGGGACCTTGCACAGTTCTGCAGGGCCTGCAAGACGGAGCTGTTCCGCCAGGCGTTTGAGTAGGAGCCGCCACCACTGTACCATCCCTATCTGGCCCTGGAAGAGAGAACGACAGTGTCACGCGGAACTGACGGCACTGAGTGGGTATACCAGCGTTCAGACGTCATCTTTATGGAAGATCATATGGAACATCTAGAGCACTTAATAATGTTATAATATTGTAGTAATGATTTTAAATGGTTTTTTTTTTTTGAAAGTCATATTTATTCGGTTTTTGAATACATTTCATCATGTATACAAATTCTACTTATAGATATAACAGCTTACAGAGTCTCACAACATCGGATTTGACATTTTAACTTTTCTTTAACCATTTATAAAACGTTCCCCACCTATTAAAGAATATCGTTGTATCTTTATATTGTAATATTGTGGTCAGTTTATCAATTTCAATCATTTCTTGCATTTTAGAAATTAGTTCTTTTTTCGACGGTATTCCCCCTTGTTTCCAATTCTTGGCTAATAGGATACGTGCTGCTGTAATTATATATCCCAAAACATATTTTTGCTCCTTTGTATATTTCTCTGGTATCACATTTAACAAAAAGAATTCTGGAGCATATGGTATTTCTATTTCTAATATACCGCCCAGTATTTTATGTACTTTATGCCAGTATCGTTGGGTCACAGCGCACCTCCACCACATATGGTAGAAGGTGCCTACATTATTTTTACACT